TATCACATATATATTTCTTGCTTGAGATTGTATTTATTTTTGTCTTTAAGTTTTTCTTTTATTGCATTCTTTTTTTCCCCTCCACTAGTTTGGAAAGTATACTCTATGGCTTTTCTTTTTCTTGCATTTTTTTCTATGAAATAGTAGATTTGTTTTGGTTATCTTTTTGTTGTTACTTTCTTTTTTTTCTTTTCTTTTCTTTTTTTTTTTAAATTATACTTTAAGTTCTAGGGTACATGTGAAAAACGTGCGGGTTTGTTACATATATATATACATGTGCCATGTTGGTGTGCTGCACCCATTAACTCATCATTTATGTTAGGTATATCTCCTAATGTTATCCCTCCCCCCTACCCCCTCCCCACAATAGGACCCAGTGTCTGATGCTCCCCTTCCCGTGTCCAAGTGATCTCATTGTTCAGTTCCCACCTATGAGTGAGAACACGCAGTATTTGGTTTTCTGTGTTGTGATAGTTTGCTGAGAATGATGGTTTCCAGCTTCATCCATGTCCCTACAAAGGTCACGAACTCATCCTTTTTCATGGCTGCATAGTATTCCATGGTATATATGTGCCACATTTTCTTAATCCAGTCTGTCACTGATGGACATTTGGGTTGATTCCAAGTCTTTGCTATTGTGAATAGTGCTGCAGTAAACATACGTGTGCATGTGTCTTTATAGCAGCATGACTTATAATCCTTTGGGTATATCCCCAGTAATGGGATGGCTGGGTCAAATGGTATTTCTAGTTCTAGATCCTTGAGGAATTGCCACACTGTCTTCCACAATGGTTGAACTAGTTTACAGTCCCACCAATAGTGTGAAAGTGTTCCTATTTCTCCACATCCTCTCCAGCACCTGTTGTTTCCTGACATTTTAATGATTGCCATTCTAACTGGTGTGAGATGGTATCTCATTGTGGTTTTGATTTGCATTTCTCTGATGGCGAGTGATGATGAGCATTTTTTCATGTGTCTGTTGGCTGTATGCATGTCTTCTTTTGAAAAGTATCTATTCATATCCTTTGCCCACTTTTTGATGGGGTTGTTTGTTTTTCTCTTATAAATTTGATTGAGTTCGTTATAGGTTCTGGATATTAGCCCTGGCTTTTCTATTAATAGCTGACCCAGAAGTTTTTACCAGATATACTTAGCTTAACAAAGTTCGAAATAATCAGCATTTCTATACTTCTTTGCCAGTGTGATGAGTTGGAATTCTTTCAACTTAGATCGTCTTCTTAATAATTTACATGCTCTTACTACCTAGTGTTTTAATACTGTTTTTAACATCACAAATTAGATGTCTTGGTTATTATTATTGCCTGTGTGAGCTCTAAAACATAAACTCTCCAGCAAGTCTCAGCCACCTTTCCCATCCTTCCTGAGGGCACTTTCAGTTCACATGTGTACTATAGTTTTTTTAGTTTTATTTTTTTCTTCTTGGTTCTTAAGAATAGAGTTCTTAATTACAATAGTGTTTTAGCCAGCATTAATGCATGTTTATAAGTGGGAGGGTTTTCAAGTTTTTTCATCTGTAATATGCTGGAACAAGTCATAAACTATTTATGTGTGACCTAAACAGCAAACTTTCTAATGAGGAGAAGGAGCAGAGATGTGAAAGGGAAGGGTTGAGCTTTGATTTGGAGGGGAAAAAAGGTGTAAAATAAGAAAAAAGCAAATGAAATGTTATATTTCAAAAATTTCAAATAAGGAAATTTTGTATTCTAAATAAAGCATAATAATAAACTAATTAAGAAATAGTATCTTGAGCAATATATAATAAATTCTGTTTGACGATTGAACATACTTTGATTGTTTTCTCATTCATGAATTTCACAGTAGTATGATGTATCAATAAAACCAAAGGATCTGTAGGAAGACCTGAATAGAAGAATCCTATTCTCTTTGCAAAGGCTAACCCTCTCTTATTGAAAAGATGATTGTTTTCATCCACAAGTATTTGTTGAATTCTTGTCCCATGACCAGTGACAAGAGTTAAGGATGAGGTGGAAATTAAGTTAGAAGTATAAAATGATCCCTGGCTTTTGGACACAGTGCCTCTGACATGAATATCTGTGAGATAAACAGTCTTGATTATTATAATTTGAATAAAATCTTCAGTTGAAGATATATTTGAATACATATTTGAATAAAATCTTCAGTTGAAAACAGATCATTTAAGATGCACAAACAAAAAGTTGTGACAGACTGGGTATATTAACTGAGATAGACTAGGCTGTGAGAAACAGAAAATTTAGCTAACACAGTAGCGTAAACTATGAGGACAATAGGACATTTATTGTTTGCTCAATAAAAGGTTTAGAGGCAGATGATCTGAAGAAGGCAAATGAGGCTGCTAGACAACTTCTTCAAGGACTTGTGCTTGTTCTAGCTTCCTATGTTGCTTTTCTTAGGTTTGCTGCTTCTTGATCAAATTGGCCAAAACTGCTTAACACAACTATTCCTGCTTGCAAAGAAAAGCCAAGACAACAAGTGTCTGTCTTTTTTGGCCTTTATCGTAGGCATGAAATGGAGAAGGGGGTCAGAAAAGGCTCTTAGGGAGCCAGCCATAGTGTCTGACACGCTGGAGGAAAAACTATAATGGAGCATGTATAGAAATCTGATATACGGCACTTGATATTGGCATTGCAGATCAAGTAGAGAAATGATTGGTATTCAGTAATGGTGCTGGGACATTTAGTTTTCCATGTAGAAAATATCTATAAATAAAAGTATATATAACATCTGAGTTTGTGTAAGTACACTCCATGATGTTCACACAATGACAAAATTGCCTAACAAAACATTTCTCAGAATGCACTTCCATCACCAAGCAATGTATGACTTCTTATGAAGAATTTCTACTCATTAAAGAGAAAAAGACATGTAACCCAATAGAAAACTGAGTGAAGTGTATAAATAGATGGTCACAGTGAGAATAAATGCAAATAGATAAACTTATGAAAAGATACATAATCATAATAGTTTTCAGGGAAATGAAAATTGGAACAAGAATAAGGTTTTTCTTTAGCAGTCTGGTTGATAAAAATGTAAAGTTTGGAAATATTCAGGGTTGATTAAGATTTAAGGAAACAGGGCCCCCCTTAAACTGTTGGCAGACCTATAAACTGGCACAGTTAGTTTAGAGTGCAATCTGATAATGTATCTGCAAATTTATCAACTTTCACTTATGATTCTATTCTTGGTATCTTCTTCTGAGAAATAGTAAGTTTTACTTAAGGGATATGTAAGGATGTCAATTGAAACATGTTTTAAATTTTTTTTTAATTTTTTATTTTTTGAGACTGAGTCTCACTCTATCATTTTGGCTGGGGTGCAGTGGCATGATCTCGGCTCACTGCAACCTCTGCCTCCTGGGTTTAAGCGATTCTCCTGCCTTAACCTCCCAAACAGCTGGGATTACAGACCTGTGCCACCATGCTTGGCTAATTTTTGTATTTTTGGTAGAAATGGGGTTTCACCATGTTGGCCAGGCTGGTCTCGAACCCTTAACCTCAAGTGATCCACTGGCCTCGGCCTCCCAAAGTGCTGGGATTACAGGCATGAGCCAGCGCACCCAGCCTGAAGCATTATTTAAACGGCTGAAAATTGTGGGAATAAAACTACTTAAATTTCCAATAATAAAAGAATGGCTAAACAAACTCTTACATATCCAAGGTTCAGACAACTATGCAACAGTTAAGAATGAATTAGATCTATGTGTGCTATAATAAAAAATCACTAAAGCATATTAAGTTGAAGTCATAGCTGTGTAAAAAGCGTGACATCACATATTTAAAACATACACAGCAAAAATACAATAATACTATAGGCAGTATTTTCTATAGATACATATGCACATGAATAAAATTACATTTTATAATTGTATTTTTAAAATCTGGAAGATGAGTAACTAATTGATAAAAAGGAAGAGTGCATGTACATGTTTTTTTTAAAAGCCAAGGAAATTTTAAAGATCACCTGACCCAGTGTTTTCTTAAGTGATACAGTGTTCTGCTAATGGTGTATGGTATCCCTTTCAGTAATCCTGGACATAGCATGAAATAAATTGGAATCACACAGGCAGAAAGTTAGTCCATTTTCAAGGATTTTTCAATCCTTCTGCTCAGGTGAAAGATAAATTCTGTCTGGTGCCCACGTGGTCCTCCTAACACTTTTTCGTCTCCCTTTTTATTAAAGAGCAAACTCTTGGCTCACAGATTTCAATAGAAACAGAATCTAGCTAAATTTAGTAGCAGTATTTACAGTGTATTGATTTCTAAGATTACCTTATAGTTTTAGCAAGCGATACTTTTTTTCATTTACTGTAATGCTGTGTTTGCTTTTAAAATAAGTGAAATAGTCAATTAAGATATTCAGTAAATACACACGTGTTTAGACACATGTGAATGTACATACAGGAAATATATAACATGTATATACATATTATGTTTGTAGATATATATCTATATAAAGAATACTGCTATTAAATAATAGTCTAGATAGGGCATTAATATGGCAAAAACTTTGAGGGGAAATATGAATGACAACTTTCAGAAAGATGAAACTAATTGTCCTTTTGTTGTATAAAGAAAATTAGGTTGTTGTTACTTTCATGTGCTTTTTACAATTTAATTGGATCATCTCAAAGTTATGATTTATATGTTATGTATATGTTATATAACATATATAATTTTGATTAACTGTATATTCTTTGGATCATTAGTAATGGTAGTCTTCTATAATCACTAAGTAAATAAAATCTTACGATTTTTCAGTATTTAAAAAAGATTTGGCAAAGAAAGTTTTCCAAAACCATGAAAGGGCTGGGGCTGGGTGGTAAATTTCCAGTGAAGGATCATGATGAATGTATACTATTACACAGTGTGTTGGCCTTTACATGAAATAATAATGAGTTAATTCATACTATTAAGGAAAATGAATGAAATACACTGTTTTGAGATTTGTCTTTGAGCTAATATTTAACATCTGTTTGCCAGGGTGGTCCGGGACTCCGAGGACCAAAGGGCCAGCAAGGTGAACCAGGTCCAAAGGTAATGTGCATGTTCTCCCTCTCTCTCTCTCTCTCTCTCTCTCTCTCTCTGTCTCCTCCCTCTCTCTGTCTCCCCCCGCCTCTGTCTCTCTCTGTCTCTCTCTCTCTCTCTGTCTCATCTCTCTCTCTCTCTCATAAATAGCCATCATTTTGGAATTAAGTATGACTTAGTTCACTCTTGCAATCTAAACTTCCTTCTATTTTTATGAAAGTTGTGCCTAACTCTTCTTCCTTATTTTAAGAGACTATGCTTTTTAATCCAAAAGAATATTTAATAACTCAGTGGAAAGAAAGGCTTCTGGATCAGAAATAAGAATGTCAATGTTCTGAGTGGTTTAGTCTCCAAGGTAGTTCTCTCAGAATTTGTACATTATTCTCTTCCTTTACCTACAACAAAAGTATATCTTTAGAGGAATCATGCAGAACCACAACTTGGCATCATTCCTTTCCAGGTAATTTCTCAGGTTTTGGATTCCTCCTTCTCCACTGCACTATATATAATCAAACACACAACTCCGTTTTTCATTCTTACTGCCCAGGGTCATCAAATATGGTGGTTCAGGGTGTACACTATACAAAGGCACCCGCCAAGAGACCAAGCCATGCCAAGCCATGTCAAGAAACACATTTTTCTACTTTGCACAAAGGCATCCTGAGGACTGGCAGAAGCCCAGTCACTAATGAACCTCAGGCCTCCCCATCTTCTCTCCGGCTCTTGGCAAATCTTCTAACTGGTCTTCTGTCCCAAGTGGCTTAACATTTCGATTGATTCTTCACATCTGCCCCCAGATTAATTTCCTTAAAGTCTATGCTGGATCACATCATACTCTTCAAAAACCTGCAGTCACATGCTGTTGCCTTCAGAATACCATTCACCCTCTTTGCTGAGGCATTGAAGGTCCTTTATAACTTGACTCCCATTTCATTTTCACCATGTTGCTCCACATGTTCTCTTCTCCATCCATCTTGCTTGACTTACTGCTCAATATGGTTTCTTATTAAATTTACATAACATTTATTAATGGGGAGGAGAACATTGCAAGGCTTTTTACCATAAAATTGGAAACAGATGAAGCAAGGTAGAAGAAAATATTGGGATAAAAAAGAAGTAAATGAAAGAAGGCTGAAGATAATCAGGTACTACCCAATTCAAAATTCAGAACATAAGATGTCTCCTTTTTTGTTTATTTTGTTTGCTGGGACAGACTTGATGTATCTTACTTGGCTCCATCTTTTATGGTGCTGTAAGAAGGGCAGCAGTTGGAGGCCTCCTCTCAAGCAAGGATGAAACTGGATCTTCCTCAGTTTCACCCAAAGGCAATGCCCCTCTGCTCCTATAGATTCTAGTTCCCTCCTCCCAATGCCTCTATCAGCATGACCTGGTGTTTTCTAACATGATCACTGGATGATTGTTCTAATCATGAAGATAAATGAGTTCGTAGATGTTTGGTGGTCCCAAGACCTACCCATTTCCTCCAATTATCCATTCCCATGGGACTGCTACTGATACAGTTATTTCTGTATGATGATTTTGATGAATCACAGATCCAAATATGTAGTGGTTTTTGAAAAAAGTCTTATTGGACAACGAATGTTGACATGTCCACCAATGTGGACAGTGCGGGAATAAATACCTTCCATACAGAAGGTCTCAATATGTATTATTTTTTATTTTGTTGCAGCAAATACAGAATAAGAATTTGGAAGGACAAAGCAACCTTCTTCTTGGTCTCCCCTCATCATTTTTGCCTCATATTTTACAGGATAAAATGGGACCCCCTACTTTTTGCCCTTCTACTCTATTTGCAATTTCTTGATAATATATTATTAAACTCAGCCAGGTGCAGTGGCTCATAACTGTAATCTCAGCACATTGGGAGGCTGAGGCAGGTGGATCACCTGAGGTCAGCAGTTCAAGACCAGCCTGGCCAACATAGTGAAACCCTGTCTCTACTAAAAATACAAAATTAGCTGAGTGTGGTGGCGGGCACCTATAGTCCCAGCTACTCGGGAGACTGAGACAGGAGAATTGCTTGAACCTGGGAGGCGGAGGCTGCAGTGAGCAGAGATTGCGCCACTGCACTCCAGCCTGGGCAAGACAGAGCAAGACTCCATCTCAAAAATAAATAAATAAATAAATAATATGTTATTTAACTATTATATGTTAAAATGATATATTATTAAACCATTGTAAATACTAAGTAATACATAAAAATTGCCTCCTTGCCGCCTCCGTTGTATTTTTAAAAATCCCACTCCCTCCCTCTTCCTTCTTCTTATGCCATGCTCCTTGTAAGAATAGTTATCACTCAGTGCTTTTGCATGCTCACCTCCCAAAGAATTCTCAACCCATATATGCTTCCTCTTCCTCTGGGAGTCCTATGAACATTCTCTCATAAAAGTTCCCAATTACTTGCTTGTTACCAGTTCCATAGATTAGGGTTTAATTTTTCTTGAGATCTCTACAAAATTTAACACAATCAAACACTTCTTTGTTTGAAAATTTCTCCTCTTTGGCCGTTTCTGTACCACAGTACCACTCCATCCTCAGCCTTTTCCTAATTCTCAGGCTTTTTCATTTCAGATTCTTCCCCAGGTTTCTCTTCCTTTCCCTTCTACCTGATTATCATCTCATTTTTATCCACATTCTGTTTCACTCACTCAATACATTCTCTTTAATAACCTCACCTATAAATATATTTTCAACTACTCCAAAATCCATGCCAGCACAGACCTTGCCTTACTCCTTGGCCTGCTGGACATTTCCATGAGGTTTATCCCATGCACCTAAATCTTAACAAGTCTTAGTCTGCACTCGTTATCTACCCACACTTTACCCCCACAAAGGCTTTTTTTTTCTTGTATTCTTTGTCCCAAGTAATGAGTTCACCAATTTCACATCTAAGGTGATACCCAGATATTGAAGATCCAATTTAATAAAAGAATAGCTTTAGTTGAAGTCACAAAATGAGACAGAAGAGGTTGAGGATAGGTAGGTTTTTCTGGGGCTAAGATTTCCTACGTGGTTTAGTTTTAGTTAAACTGCAACAAGGTCCAAGCTACAGAAGTAAGGGTAACAGAAGTAAGGGTGAAAGGGATGTCTGATCCTGAAAAAGAAAGGAAGTAAAATAGGCTGGGCATGGTGGCTCACACCTGTAGTCCCAGCACTTTCGGAGGCCAAATTGGGAAGATCACCTGAGGTCAGGAGTTCAAGATCAGCCTGGCCAACATGGTGAAACCCCACCTCTACTAAAAATACAAAAATTAGCCAGGTGTGGTGGTACACGCCTGTAATCCTAGCTACTCGGGAGGCTGAGGCAGGAGAATCACTTGAACCTAGGAGCAGGAGGTTGTGGTGAGCTGAGATCGTGCCACTGCACTCCAGCCTGGGCAGCAGAATGAGACTCTATCTCAAAAACAAAAAATAAAGAAGGAAGTAAAATAATACTAAGCCTAGGGAAGGTCATTCAGTGGACATTGAAGCAGTTATAGTGTGATGGCAGCATCAAAGTAAGGAAGAAAGCAGAGGCTAGGTGCAAAGTTCTCAATAAATGCAGAGGAGTCCCCCTGAGGTAGGTGGTTGACAGTAGTGAAGACAGAGAGAATGTAGTTCATCTGGACGGTGTGAACCTTCCCAGACTAGGAGGGTGGTCTTCAAGCACTTATAAATTTGTTATGGAGTGTGGGGGGTCTCATTACTTACATAATTGGCATAGCACTCTTATTTACAGAAGCAAAAGTAGTAATGATAATCATAAAGTTGCAGCAATCCCTGTGTGTTTACTTTTATGGTTTACTGATGACATTTTACCTGGAAGGTAAATCATTTGAAGCTTGATGTCTTGTTATCCTGAGTATTTCCTATCTTGGGAAAAACTATATAAGAAAACAAATTATAATTGTCCTAAGCAGAAATATTTTTTAGATGTCAGAGAGTCTAACTTACTTTTAGGATGATACTTCTCTGTTGCCTTCCAGGGACCAGATGGCCCTCGGGGTGAAGTTGGTCTACCAGGACCTCAGGGTCCACCTGGACCCCAAGGACCAAGTGGTCTGTCCATTCAAGGAATGCCCGTGAGTTATGTTCAAACATTCAGATGGATTTTATTGTTGTCTCTTTTCCATGCGGTTACAAAGAATGAACTTTTGTCTTCTGTGTCTTCATAATGAGTATCAGTCCCTTTGAAAACAATGACGGAGTGTCATTTCACTAATTGTGCCCTTAGCCATTTTTTATTCAATGATGAAGGTCTTTTAACAAATAAGTACATGCATACTATTGGAGGTAGGTCCATCCACAAGCCTTGTGTCTATAGAGAAAGAACAAAGCTTAGCATATATAGCCCTTTTTCTCTTTTAACTAAATTCTTAATGGATGTGATAACATCCAGAAAGTAACAAATGTTATACAAATTTAAGTTTTTTCATTATGTGTGGTAACTGCTGATATAAATTAATAAAAGCCGTTTATTCACAATCCTTATCTCAGATGACATCGAAGTGCAGATTATGGAGAGTGAGAGTTTTAGAATTTTAGACAGTGTACTTTATATAGCTGCATTTCGTTGGAAAGTCGTTTTGTACCATTGAAAAAAAGTTAATTCCATTCACTAATCTTCATTAATCTTCCTATAGGGGTCTACAGTTAAGAATAAAACCAATCTCTTTAATTCATGTTGGAAGCAACCAGATCCTTTTAAGCACAATTTTTGGCAATCTTTCTGCACATATGATTGTGTCTGCCTAGCTGAGAAGTTTCTCCTACAGTGTTATTTTTACATTTTAGAAAGCATTAATGTGCCAATTTGTGTAATTACTACTAATAATAAACATTGGTTGAGGTCTTACTACATGCCAGATTCTGTGTTTGCTTTTCCCTTCTTATATTCCATTTGAGTATCTTCTAGCCAAAGCAAAACAAAACAAATCTACATAGATATGAGATTGTAAAATCCAAACTGTAAATAATACTGAAATATTCAAGTCTGCCCTCCATGTATTTACAGTATTGGCCTCGCCATATTAGACTGTATATTCTATGTTAAAACTATCCTGGTATATAAATGTTCAGCTCCATACGAATGTTTACATAAATGGTATAACATATGTGGAAAGTGAAATATATTCTGTTGGCTGGGTGCAGTGGCTCATGCCTGTAATCCTAGAACTTTGGGAGGCCAAGGCAGGCGGATCACTTGAAATCAGGAACTTGAGACCAGCCTGGCCAACATGATGAAACCCCATCTCTACTAATAAAGTACAAAAATTAGCCGGATGTGGTGGCGGGCGTCTGCAATCCCAGCTACTCGGAGGCTGAGGCAGTAGAATAGCTTGGACCCGGGAGGCAGAGGTTGCAGCGAGCCAAGATCGTGTCACTGTACTCCGGTCTGGGCAACAAGAGCAAGACTCCATCTCAAAAAAAAAAAAAGGATATATATATTCTGTTTAGATGTTAGTGTGAACACAGTTTACTTTGGAAAATATTTAAATAATGAGAGAGGGAAAAGAAAATGCTAAGAATTTCCCTATGTGAACTTAACTCTGTATACTTTTGGATATTCAGGGAATGCCAGGAGAAAAAGGAGAGAAAGGAGATACTGGCCTTCCAGGTCCACAGGTAATATTTTTATTTTTTAAGTCTATTGCTGTCAGTCTACACCTTTCCCAAGGGGGGGAAAAAAGCTGGAGCATCTGAAGTCAGTTGTGATCTTGGTAAGTGTTTTCCATATTAAAGACTGTTTGCCTGTATTCACTTACCCTAAGCTGCTTTTGAGAGTCACACTGATGTTCCTCAGGTGAGCTCTGACAGGGAATGTTCTTTGCCCATGAATAACTTCTAAGTCTGAATTGTGGGTTACAAAGGGTTCACCATTATGCTCTTAGGTTTGCTTGGAGGCCTTCATCTATTTCAGGGAAGCTGGGTGAGCAGATGACTCATTCCTGTGAACCTGACTCTTTTTTGTCCCTGTTCTACATAGGGTATCCCAGGAGGCGTTGGTTCACCAGGACGTGATGGCTCACCAGGCCAGAGGGTAAGGTCTTGCCCAAGGTTGGTTTTTAGTAAAGTAGACTTTTCACCAGGTCACTCTTATTGCTGACTGGCTTCTATGTAAGGGAGTCAAGCCAGTTTTTGCTTTTTGTTTTCTCCTGTTTATGTATATTTCACCTATCCTGCATCTATTTCCCTTCACTGACATCTTCTATGTTCATTACTTCGTCAAACCCTAGGAACTTCCATCAAACCTTCCCAAATTAGCACATCCCTTTCCGAGTACTCCCATAACCTGAATATAGTTTATTGTGTGCATTGGTTTAGTAGGTTTCTCCAGTTCTTTCGAATCCTTGAGGCATACATGTAAAGGAAATAAAGAACCATATGAATTGAAATTTAAATAGAATGGCTTTCTGTAGTATCGCTTACATGGCAATCTCCGTTTATTTAATATAGTTCGATTATTGGTTCTTTTCATCTGTTCAAGTGGACAGCAGTACAATAAAGTGTAAAGATGTTCAGGAAAGGGATACATTAACATCTGGTATTTGTTTAGTCGATAAGGTTTTACTGAACCAGGTTTGAGGTTCTTGTTCTCAAAGAGTTTACAGTTTATTGGGAAGAAATACAAGTAAATAAGAAATTTTTATTACATGCTATAATGGGAGCAGAGCCCTGTGAAAACACAAAGAATGGATAACCAAGCTAGACTTGGAGGCTGGAAGAAGGCTTCTCAGAGGATGTACCATCTAGGCCGAGTCTCGATTGAAAGATAGAAGTCAGCCAGGTGAACAAGGAAAGGAAAACTATTGCAAGCAGAGGGAACAGCATATACAAAGAGATAGAGGTGAGGGAAGGTGGGGCATTTCCAATATTGTATTTCATTTAGATATGGCAGGAGATTAGAGTAATTGTGTGTGTGTGTTGAATGCATGTGCACACATACTTAGGTGTGGGGCGATTGTTAAGAGATGAAGTTAGAGAGGTAAGCATAAATTCACTTAAATCATCTATTTTTTTCCAACTAAGGATTTTGAACTTTAACATGAAGGCAATAAGAAGTCATTAAATTTTCAGCAAGGGACACAGAGGCTGATCTTCCTTAAACTGTCACCGATTTAGACATGTGAGCAGCTCCACAGTTTTCCTCAAGACTGGATTATATAGAGTGGCAACCACTTAGATCCAAGCCAATGAAGGACAACACATCTGGCGTTCACTGGTGTTTTTGGTCAAACTTACTAGGTTAGCAAACAATTGACTTGAGCGCTCACTTCTCTACTCAAACAAGGCTTGCTTTTAGCTCAGGGTAGCTATACTGTTCAAGAATAGTGAAATTGTTCTTGTTTTTTTTCTATAGAATGTAGATGTGCAACCCTTCTACTTCCACCCCGCTTTTTTTTAACACCAAACTTTCATTTGTGTAAAATCTCAGTGTAGTCTCTGTTCATCAAATGGAATTACTTAGTCCATGAAACATGTTTAGGTGAATGTATCTGAAGAAGGCATTCTGTAACAGTTAGATTTATGTAGCGTTCTTGTTGTACATGTGGAAGGAACGTCTAGAAATATTTATATATTTTGGCAAAGGGCGTAGGCTAAGATCCTGTGTGGTTACACACCTGGATTCCTTCGTGATTCCTAAAGTTCTGAAAATGGCAATTCTAAAGATTTAGTTTGGTGAGTTTATTTGATTTATCTGTGCATGAAGTCCAATCTTGGCAAAGAACTCACAAATCAAACATGTTGGATTAGTGTTTGAATCATTTGGTTTTGGAATTCTTTCTTTTAACACCAATATACCAACACAGACTTTTGATAAATATTTTGCTATCCCTCCAAACGTGTGTTCCTCTATAGGATTAAAAGTCTTAGAGCTGTAATAAAGTGATAAGATATCTATACTTGGATTTTATTTTACTTTCTCTTCCAATCTGGAAGTCAAACTTTTAGAGTATGTCTGATTCTTACTTTGAAAACATATTAGATGGAAGTGGGCTTGCTTTTCCAAACTAGATTTCTGAGGATACTCATTCTTTATAGGGCCATGTTTAAAGAAAAGATTATATGAATCCTGTGATGATTCTTTTAGGAGAGATATTTGAAGGCAATATCATTTCAATGTGCAACAGGAGGGGATGCCATTCACACAGAATAAAACAAAATGGTGCCCCTGAAATTGTGTAACATGGCTGCCTTGCTTGAGAGAAGGACCACATATTTTATCAATCAGCAATGTCTTAATCGAGCACATATAATATGCTGTGTACTACGCTCAGCCTGGACAGAGTTGTTCATTACTGCCTACAGGGAAGAATCCAGAAGAAGAAAGAACTTCAATGGCAGAGGGAGACAGTTTGTAGACTATTTACCTAGAGGAGATGGAAGGAAGGGATAAGAGCATGGCTATTCCCTGGGGCCAGAAAAACAAAAGGGTCTTCTCAGAGACAGTAGAGAAGGAAACAAGAAATGAAGGATGGATTAAAAATGCCTATTTAGGTGGCTGTGATCTGTTCAGTCAACTGATCTGAGGGCTTAAGGATAGTAAAGTTCTAACACGGTTAGATATTAATAATTACTGGGCAGGATTGTAAGGTAGGAGGCCCAGGACAACTTTCATGGTGGGAGACAGACCTTGGACACGAAGCACCCCAGAAGACATGCTGCACTGGAGGGCCAGCTCTCCCTGGTTTGGCAGTAGGAGAGGAGGTACTGTTTATAGAGTAAGCACAAACACCTTGCAGTTATTCCTGCTCCACCTCAGGCCATTCTAAAAGGCAAAGCTGCATTTGGGGAAAAAAAAATTACAACAACAATAACAACCATGGCTTGGAACAGACAGACAGCAAACGCAGGATGATGAAACTTACTGCTGACATGACTGAGAAGACACTTCCAGAAAACTCCCCAGTCAGGCTTCACTGTCCAGAAATTCAGGAAGGCAAAGTTTTTTATTTTCCTCCACTCTGAGCACTGAAATCACTTAATGTTACTGTGCCTTTATTTCCCCAGTCCTGTGTGAGTAAAGCCTACTCTAGGGAAAGGAGAAGGAAGCTGCAACAAACATTTTCAATGATGTTCAATGGGTGCTTTTAGCTCCTTGGACAGTGTAAGGAGTACGTGAGTGTGGTGTGCGGTAGGGGTGGTGGGCTATTCCTTACTGCTCATTTTTCTTCCTTTTCTGTCTTTGCCTTCTCTTGTTTGTTTACTTATTTTAATTTTAATTTTTACAGATAAGGTCTTGCTCTGTGGCCCAGGCTAGAGTGCAGTGGTGCAATCTTGACTCACTGCAGCCTCAAACTCCTGGGCTCAAGTGATCCTCCCACCTCAGCCTACCAAGTAGCTGGGACTGCAGGTTTGCACCACAATGTCTGGCTAATTTTTTTGTTTTTGTAGAGATGGGGGTCTTGTTATGTTGCCCAGGGTGGTCTCAAACACCTGGCTTCAAGCGATTCTCCTGCCTCAGCCTCCCAAAGTGTTGGGATTACAAGCGCTAGCCACAACACCTGGCCAAATCTTTGTCTTCTCTTATCGACAGGCACAAACTTAAAGCGCAAACCAGGTACCATCGCCTTGACTGAAAGCTTAGGGAAAGGTTAGCATCCCTTTCCTGGAGCTGAAACCAATAGTACCCCTGAATTTAACCTAGAAGGAGAGAGATCTTAACAAATAATAAAAAGGAGAAGATGAAACATCTTTTCTTCTAATGTTTCTAGCTTATTCTGGCTTTTCCCAAGGGGAATCTTTGACTCTTAGAGGTAGCTCTTATTCAACTCTGGGCCTGAGGCCATAAACAAGTCCGGTAAAAACTGGACTTCTTCATTGAACAAGTTGCAGCCTCTTGCTAGGCAGCCAGTAGAGTACAGGACCACACTTTGAAAAGCAATAGTGCAAGTTCATATTTCATAACCAAGTGCATTGAGGCATTCAGTTTTCATTCCAGGTCATTCCAGAAGAAAACGTTTTCGTCTCATCTTTCATTGCACTGTAAATCTTGTCACTGCTCTCATCTCCTTCCTCTTCTTTTCTTGGTATCTGTGACCTCAGGACCTATCCTGTCATCTTTGAGCTCCTCTAATATAGGGTGGATTTCTCAGTCCCCACCCTAGACATCAGGGTGGTCCCCAGGAAAACTAGGAAGAACAGGCAAGACATGGATTACTTCATGTTTCCAAGCCTCACTTTCCTCAGTGGTAAAGTGGAAAAAATAATATTTGACTGTAGAGAATTGTCATGGAGATTAATTCATATAAAGCATTTCTCTATAAAAATGTGATTTTAGCTAATATTAGTATTCACTATTTTCAAGGTAAACTTAAGTCTGGACATTTATAATATTTTATAAGGCTTGTACTTGACATTTCAAGATGCCCTAGAAGACTAAAGAAATACAAAATTCTTTTTTTAAAAGCAAGTTAAATTTTTTTTTCTTGGATTTCAAATGACAAGGACACCGGAAGCATGCTTCTAGATTGTGCAGATTTTATGTCTACAAAGGACATATTTGTGATGAATATTCCATTTCTTCAAAAGTGAGTTAGACTTGACATGCACTTGAGAAACTGAACTTGAGTCAACTATCTGGATTTAATTTTTATCATAAATGTTAAGCAGTGATGAAATATTTATCTAAGGAATATTTTGTAAAATACTAAGATTCATGATAATTATTCCCTTGAGCATCTTACTCCTTCTGAAGAGGATGTGTAAATACCGTCACAAAACTAGTGGAGGGAATAATTTGATTTTCTTCTTTGTGGGTCTAGATGGGTTTTATAAAATCCCAAGAAAGCCTTTGCGCAATCAGCCACAGTGATGATGGTATATGCAATTGAGACTAAGCAGATTATTTTAATAAAAATAGCAGCAACTACTACCATTAATTATTGAGTATGTGCAGGTGCTTTGCAAATATGATGTTCTCCAGTCCTCAGAATAACTATGAGTGCTAGGCATTGTTATCCCCATTTTACAGACAAAGAATCTAAAGCTCAGATAACTGAAGAAACAATGGCACATGGCTAGTAAGTGTTAGAGCTA